GGGCTTCTTTGAAATCAACGCTGTTTTATGTACTGTTTCAATGATTAAAATAGCTCATCGAATAGAATATTTCCGTCGTGGCACTCACAAATGGTCCCAATTTAAATTTAAATTTAAAAATACCCCTGTAAAATAGCAGATTTCAAAACAGGCGTGGCATTCAGTCACGCGCTTATGGACACACTTTTATCAGCATAAAACAGCCGTAGGTGTACTCGTATTCAGGCAGAGCCTAGCTTTCGCCATTTCCCGGTTAAAATGTGTACGAAAGTCCTTAGTGTTTGTTGCCGTTCGGTTCCATGATTCATGGCTAGCGATGGTGAAATATTCTGACAAGCACTCACTGAACTTCACTGTCAGGGCTTTATTCTGCCTGCCCATTCTCCCCTTGAATGAGTTCCTAGCAGTTTAAGTAAATAGTACCGTTTAAAAAAAATTCCCCTGAGGATTTCTGTTTGTAAGAAGACCTCAAAGGAGCAGAAATTACAATATCAATCTAAATACGTCTAGAAATGGCACATGATATTTGGAAGGAATTGCCATGCCCGGTTTAAAGGCTGGAGGCATTTAGCAACTTGCCCCCACGGATTACATAATCCAACTATTCTCTTTAAACAGAAATTGATCATAAGGAGCACCATCTTGAATGAAAGTAAGTTCATAATGTTTGAGAAATTGTAAACACATTATGAAGGGAACGTTGTTCATTAGTTACTTCGCCAAGACACTGAAACGTATACAAAGGACAGAGAAACATCTGCTTAAAAGTTAGAGGGTCTGGCGTCGATCCCAGGCCAGCGGACATTCCTCCGGGAACCAAAGCTGAGCAGAAGAATCACTTACAGATACTGAGACTGAAAAGAGGCTGCATCGTTGATAAATAATTATGCAATATACATGGCAACACATTGTACAAAGCGTGTTCAAAGCGCATTGCCAAACGGTCATTTGAACAGTTTCATAATAAGCAAGTACTAATTGATTCAAATCCATAATCGTCTTGAAAAAATAAAAATTGAACATATCTTGGGCTGGCACGGGTGCGTAAGACCCGTAGCTTTGTCTTTATCTCGCAGGTGGATCGGAGCAAAGGAGGGGGAGGGAACAGTAGTTTCAATTAAATGGCTCAAAATTGGATGACGGCCTCTGGTCTTACGCGGCACGTGGAGAAAATTAACTGCAGTCAGACGTGGCGGAGGGGGCAGTCACGTGCTCTCATATGACAGGAAGAGAAGTGCGACGGCTTTTCTATGTCCCGGATTGAAGAATGCATCTTGAATAGCGGCGTGCTTCCCATTCTGATACCAAATAGACACACAACATTTTGATAAATGGTCATTGTGATCACATGGTATGAGAAATAATGTTTGGGTTAACACTAGACAATTTATTTTTGAAAGTCGTCATCAAGCGTTTGTGTTAACAGTAGGCGTTACCTGGGAGGCTGTTTTTCTTGCCTTCCTTTTCACAAAAATTAATTTACATTTAATTCACTGTTTAGTTCGCTGAATAAACATATGCAAATCTTACTAACTTGAGCAGACGCTGTATTGCTGAGTATTAGAATAGTTTCCAATTGATATGAAATGGTTTGCTTTGCGGACGCTTCGCAGGGCGGCTTTGCAAATCTGTGTGGTTGCGCCGAAGATGGATGGGCCATTGCGGGCAAGTCGTGAGCGGATAACCACAGCGTGACTAGAGGGCAGGCCGGCCCCGAGGTCATCTCGGTGATCAAGGCGGTGGGCTGATGGAGTATGCATGCATCTTTCCCTCCTTTGCGAGGAGTCTCGGGGATGTTGGTGACCCTGCGTCTAAACTGACCTCGAGGGCATCACATATCACGGCCCAACGTCCGCCATAGCTGGTAAGAAGGAAACAGCTCCTACAAGACATTCATGCACGAGGAGTATTCCTAACACAAAATAAATTGCGTGGTACATTGGACAGCCGTCAACCTTTTCTCTTACCAAATATCATCTGTGTTTAGCATAAATCTGGGCTAGGCGGCACAATGACATTGTACTAGTTTATTAATAAAAAGTGCTTAATAGGGGAAGGCGTAAATTCAGTATTTAGGAGGGGCCTGTGAAACACAATCCGAAGATAGTAAGGAGAAAACTTTGATCTAGAAAGAAATCAAATGGGTAGGCTTGTGAAGGTGTTACGTAATACATCAATTAGTAATCAAATTATATACTAGTGTAACGAATAAACCCGTGAATTATGGAATCTTTTAAGAAATTCTGAATGTTTTGCCTTAGGAGAAGAATTAAAAGTTGTGGCTAACTTGCAATCTCCAAAGTCAGCCACTGGTCTGTAAACTTATAGATGCGCTTTGTTTCACCTTTTGTTTTGTTTTTGTTACCGGCTTGTTGGCTATTGCATAATGACATGTACATAATTAAAAGACGAAAAGTCGATTCCGAATTGAAAACGCCGAAGTGGATGTTTTTTTTTACGTTAAGGAGAGGGTCCTGGACATGAGATAGAATAGTGCCATAATGAACAGGCAGGGACGCAATGATTGAGCATGTCGGGTTGTTGCCTCGCTCTCAATACCCTGACATTGGAAGGAAATAATGGGATTGTCGACAATAAGACCGCACGGAATCCCATACTCGGTAAAACAGTCCTTCATTTCAAAACGCGTCAATGCAAAGAGCATGTCAGCTAATTTTAGCATTGCCACACAGTGATATGCAAAGAACAAGGGATTCTCACATTGGTGAGGACTCATCGCGATTAAAAATCCGTGGGTTTTTTGTTTTCTTTTTTCTCTCAAAATTTATATGTTTTCTAGACTGAATCTTTAAGAATGTCACGAGCCTCGACTCCGCGGCAGATTTGGTTTTCACATTGGTGATGAGCAAGTTTATTACTTAAACCAGAAACTTAACGCATATCCAATGATAAAAGAACTTATTAAATCCTCGAACTCAATGTTACAGTAAGTTTCAATTGCATTAAAATTAAAATACAAACGGACAGTTACCAGCTTTTATGAGCCTCGAGCTGGACGAAGAGAGGGCGCAATTTTCTCAGCAACGGAGCCTCCTTTGGTCAGAATTGAACTTCGTGGGTTCACAAACGACAAGGAAATGCAAGTGTTACGGTCGCATCGCTACCAACAAAATGATTACTCTCGACCAATAAAGCTCTTTTTCAACCGATGAGGGGGTGCTTCTGCTCGAGGCGGGTGTACCCCACAGAGAGGCAAATCGTTCTTCATCCCTTGCAATAACAGATTTAATTAAAATTTGTATATTCCAAACAACAACGTGTACGGACAAGTTCTAGTGTGTGACGACCATATCGTTTGATAGTCATTCTCATCACTGAGTTACAATTTGCCGAAGCATGCGCAATGTTTTACGGTTATGCAGCTTCAAAAGGCTGACATTTTACGAGTACACGTACGTTAGGTTCAGATGCATTAAAAGGGAAAAAGTGCAGCCGCCGGAAAACCCGTATTTTAGCTTCCTACATTTAAAACGTTCTGTGAGACAAATGGAACAAATGTGCAGAAAGAGGTTCTCGTCTCTTTTTGCAGTGAGAATAGATCCCACCACATTGTAGATAATATACAGAGAAATAGAAATTTATCACTGATCCTCCCTGGAGAGAGAAGACCCCTAGCTTCCGGTCCTTAGTCCCCTTTCCAAAATCCCTAAATCGATGGAAGGTTATTGATGAGGGGTTGCAATCTGTTCCCCTTTTTTAACGAGCTTCTCCTATGGCCGCACATACTATTCATAACCTCCATTCACCAGCCTGACACGGGATAGAGGTACCATTGTGCAAAGTCTTCAAAGCCTTGACTCGCTGGCCTTCGCGCCTCGTACACAACAATTGGCCTGTTTTTTAAGGTACCTGCCCTCCTTCAGTTTCTTCAACGGCAGAGAAAGACCCCAAAAGTCATTATTTAAGCTGGGGATGGTCTAACACCGCCTACGCAGTATGTAAACAGAGGCACCTTCGATTACGTGTGTAGCGATTCCGTTTACACTGTGTTTTTTTTATTTTGCCGGAAAATGAAGGGGCAAAACCTTAAGGATAGATTGATTTTTTATTGACCTTTTTTGTTACAAGAGTGGCAACGGGCCATTCCCGCAGCAGCAAAAAAAAAATGAAATCTGCGGGTAGGAATAATGCAGCCGAAAGTCACGGTCCAGTGACACGAGTAGACAACCAGAAAACAACAGCGCAACCTGCAAATATGGTACGAAAACAAAGGGTGTTTCGTCATTCCGTCCCGCCGTTAGGTTCGTATGTTTTGTGCGCTGAGTGACTGTGTATACATCCACTCGTGGTTTAAAATTGGGTTTGACTTTTTTTTATAACTACAAACTACACCAGGGTAGGTTCTGTCACGTGTTTTTTCGGCAAAGAGAAGGGAATCTGGATAACTCGGAATGGGAGTGATTTTACAAACAAGTCCTTGTTAATCAGTCGAAAAGATGTATGCGAAGCGTGAACAGCGCCCTCTATGGCATCCTGTCGCCTAATTGAAGCCAAGTGTCGGACGCGCTGTGCTATAGTCCCGGACAACATTAATGATTTTTACGTCTTTCTTCTTCAAAGTCTGAGGGCCCCGTGGATTTTTTTTTTGGGGGGGGCTTTATCAATCGTGGGTAAATATTTAACCGTGGTTTAAGTTGGTCAATTTTCAGGCTCAGGTCTTGGCGAGGAGAGGGGATGTTTGCTTTGTTTTGACCGGCCGACAGGTGGGTCGAGGGGGGGGGCACAGTGCGTACACTATACACACGGCGTGTGTCACCGGTTATAGCAGGGCTGGAAATTAACATAATCTAGTTGCAACCACGCTCGGCGATTGTAGAATCCAATTACCCGCCAGCCAATGAATGGGTCTCATTCACGGCATTGTGCGGCAAGCTCCGTGCAGTCAGCCATGTCAGTCACGTCTATACCCCGCCAATCAGATTGCCCGTCACGCCCCGATGGGCCCCCCTCGCGTGCTGCCGAGCTAGCATGGGACTGTGTGGGCTTCGAACAGTGTGTGTACGGAATGCGAGTGACCTGGACATGCTATAGTCGTAGGAAGTAGCAGTTGTACGCTACACGCGCAGTTGGGTTGTTTTGCAAGTCAGATAAGACCAAGGTTCGTCAACATGTCCATGGCAATCTCGTCCTCCACTGCGCCGTATCATCACCAGAACGTCAGTTATAGCGAGGCCGAGGCCCAAATCGGCACCACCGTCTCTACCTCTTCGCATGCCATGAACATGCAGTCTGGACAGGTGAACGTCATGTATCAGAAACTGGGCAACGATTTCCTGCAGCACATCCAGCAGCCGAGCAACAACGGGCTGCCGCTCGGTCATCCCGGGGCGCAATGGGTCGGCCTGTCAGCTCCGCACGCCGACGCCAGCCAGATGTGGCAGGCTGCCGTACCGGCCCAGCTCATGGGGCAGGACATCAAGCCCAACCTGGTGGGCCAGACCAGGGAGGAGATTCAGAATTTACATCACAGAGTCGGGCACGGCCAGCCGCCCTCCTCGTGGAATTCCCCCTCGAACACACACATGGCCATGCCCATGAGCATGAGCATGCCCATGTCAACGTCTAACTCGCCCGGCCACCATCTGGGACACTCACCTCACTACACTTCCTACGGCGCCGCCATGGGCATGAATGGTATGGTCAGTGGCGCTCAGCAGCTCTGCCAAGGTGGCATCCCACGGACAAATAATTCAAACGGGTCACCATTGGGGCACGAGATGGCGCACAATGGCCCCCCGAGTAATGAGCCCGTGGAAGACTGCGATGCGCCAACATCGGACGACCTAGAGCAGTTTGCCAAGCAGTTCAAGCAGCGGAGAATCAAGCTAGGCTACACCCAAGCTGATGTCGGCCTGGCTCTGGGAACCCTGTACGGCAACGTCTTCAGCCAGACCACCATCTGCCGGTTTGAGGCGCTGCAGCTCAGCTTCAAGAATATGTGTAAGTTGAAACCCTTGTTGGCAAAATGGTTGGAGGAGGCGGACTCGACGTCTGGCTCTCCGACCTGCCTGGACAAGATAGCCGCACAGGGACGGAAGAGAAAGAAGAGGACCAGTATTGAGGTGACCGTGAAAGGTGCGCTGGAAAATGCTTTCCTGAAGCAGCCCAAGCCGGCAGCGCAAGAGATCTCTGGACTTGCAGACAGTTTGCAGCTGGAAAAAGAGGTGGTCAGGGTGTGGTTTTGTAACCGACGGCAGAAGGAGAAGCGAATGACCCCGCCCAGCAGCCAAGGGAACATTTCCGGTGGGGAGTCGCCCAACTCGGACACCATAGTGTCGTCCCACATGTCCATGCACCAGCCTGTCATCACGACCTTGTCGTCCCACCGGCACAGCTCGACCGGGTCACCGGTCCACCTAGGGGGCTCGTCCGTATCACCACCGCCCAACCATGTCTCCTCAGGCCTGGGACAGCATGGCGGGCACTGACTGACTAAAGCCGGCCTGAAAAAAACAAAAACATCCTACCCGCTTGCTATCACAGCACCCGTAGTAGGTGAGGGACACCGTGCATTATAGCTCCCCCATTTTTACCTCAGGACTTTAAAAAGTATATATGTCTGAAAACATAAACTTAATCCTTTGTTGAGTGGATCAAAGTCTGCCTATCCACAGCAACCCATATAGTTCGTATAATCCCAGGTGAGCTAAAAATACAATTGATTCAGAACTTTTTTTCATCGCCCGTGAACCGAATCGGTAACGTTATACCACTGTGCTAACACGTTTTTCAAAAGGTGAATAGGTTTTGGGGGCTCTCTTTCTTCGTGTCAATCCAGTCCTTGCCAAACGCGCCGTTTTTGTGTATCCACATTTTGGATGTCTTGTGATGTAATAAACGATCTCTTGTACATAAACAACACTCATTCACATGAACTGCTCGACAAATACGGTACAATCTGGTCACAAAGGCCTTGTAAAAAAATCCCTTTTAAGATAACACATTTTTGCTCCTTAATATTAGATTATTTATTGAGCTTATATGAAGCGTATTGTATTCTATATATAATCGTCATCTGAAGAACTGAGGAAGGTTGGTATTTACGAGTAGAAACACCATTTCAAAAGTTTTTCAAGTTGGGTGAAGACTGCTGTTTCTCAGAGCATGCCAACATTGTAAACAGAGAGGAACGTCCTGAGACATTTCACTTTTTTTCACGACGTTTCGAACAGAACAAAACTTTGCACTGATATTGACCAGGGTATATTTATTATGTAAATTTTTGTCAGTGCTAAGCTTTACGAGGAACTTGTATGTATATGTTGTTACGTATTTGAGGTTCTCCTGGTTGTATGTAAATATTGCAGGAAATTGTCTGACTGTGAAAGGGGTGTAGGCGGCCGGGCGTGGTTTCAACTATAGTGCTTCTGTTATTTCATCATGAAAGACTATTTTAATTTGAACAGGTTTAAAAGTTTTATATCAATTGATTCTTGTTATAATGATGGTATATTGGTCGAGATAATTTAACACTTCCACCAGCTGTTCAGAATGAGTTCTGTAAATAATCCCACCTTTTTAGAGCTTTTCTGAAGTATTTTTTATGTTTGTGTTATGTTTATTATTTATTATAATTTTTATCTGTGGACTGATGGAACGATGAAAAAACAAACTCGGCTCGGGGTTTTTCTGTATAGATCGACTGTCGAGCACATCGGTCGTGGAATACGATATTAACTTAGGCTTATGCAACATGAGCACTTTTGCACGCGTTGCTTGAAATTGGAGAGAGCTTCTGTAAAGAGCCAATTTACCTAACTTTATTTGTCAATTTCTAACAAAAGCAGACACCTCGGAGATTACAGAGTGGGAGAAACAGCTCCCAAGTTCCAGCTCGATAGCTCTCCATGCCAATTGGAAGAGCTTTCTGGTTGGCATTGAGCAGGGAGTTTTTAACGCTTGCACTTAACTCGATTTGCTGTACCGAAATCAAATCGGAAAGGGGATAATAAAATTCCAAGCTCGGAACACAAACAACCTCTTTAGATTTGTGCATAAGAGCGTTCATAGGGTGTCTGTCAGGGACTAGCGCGCGTACAATAGCTGCCCGCTCGCCGCAGGGCCTGTAAGACAAGAGAATCTGCGCCGTGATCAGTTGGGTCAAGAGCAACTGTGCACGCCGGCTGAAGACGAACAAGATGAACCCGTCTGGTTTAAGGACGCCGAGATATCCTCAGCCAGTCAGGTGTATTTTTCTTAGCCGTCGTGCTGACATCCTGAAGTAAGGTTAGATGAAGTGTTCTGCTATTGCAACAGTAGAAGCGGCGAACAAAGACCATGCGACCCACGATGTACTATGGTAACTCGATTAGTAAAGATCGGCATACTGGCAACTTCATTCCGGGGCTGGCGAATGCGAAGCCTGGCGTTTCGCGCCTAAATCATGCTAGTTAGTTACACGGTTGCCGCGGATGTGTCGTGGAAACAGCTCACTCGCACATCCAGAAAAATCTTCGCTGTCTTCAAGTGGTGTTTAGAGTGTATTCAGGCAATGGAAAAGGCATTTAATGTGAAAAGCTTATTTGGTACCGCATGCCAAGTTCTTAAATTTATTGCTCAAAGGTACGAAGGTGCAAGTTGGTGTGAATGAGGTGAAAATACATGTGGTCAGTAATCGTTCGTTGAAACGTTTTTCATTCCTTCCTACGCATAGACAATTTCCATGACTTTTCAAGAGGTTTTTAATTGATGTTGGCCCGTGCGCTCAACCGTAAATAACGGTATTAATTGTCAAAAAATAGACTTTGATGTGTTTAATTTAGACTGCTCTTTTTACGAAGGGTTGTACTCCTTTTCCTCGGTGGTTAAAAATTGAAATTACTTTCACTTTCCATTTTCCCAGAACTAAATCCCGGGGAACTTCGAGGTGAATTCTGTCACTGATGTTGTACGCTGACTTTACAGAACTTCTGTCGAATTAAAATGAATCGCAACGCTATACATGAGTAGTCCGGATTTTGGAATTAGACTGTTAAAAGTGTCAATTTTAAGAGTGGTTTTGTCACTGTTCACTTTGTGCATTTGAATTCAATTGGTGCTCTCCAGATTAGTATGGTTACTGTGTTAACCGCAACACGCAATATTTCACAGAAACACATGTTTGGGTGTATTTTCTTTCTTTGAAAAAGGCTTCTGTCGGAGATAATTATCCCTGTTAAACGTAGGTTTTTTTTAATGACACCATTTTGTGATCTTCTTTGACGCAAAAATTTGAGTCTCATCCGATGACCCGTGCCATTATTTTTTTCCGCCTTCAGTTGAGATCACCTTCCCGATTTCCGGGGGTCAGTGGGATGCACGTGTCTTTGTTCCCATAAAGCATTGCCGCGCGCAGTGACATTTGGCAAAAATGCACTCTCAAATTGGTTGTTATCAAAAATCAAGCCGATGTAACGAAACTAATTAAGCATCCCGTACCGTTTTGTAGTGGTAATTGCTTGCCCGATGGGGTTTTTAAGCTTTGACAGCGCGAAGGCAAAATCAACACCCTGTTTCGTTTGGTTGAGAGAACAACCCGGCGAACAGGTGTGTGCAAAGTGCGGTTGGTTCATTCGAAATGAAAGGCAGAATAGAATTTCTTGCCGTTTAAAGCCTATAACTGAGTTCATTAATGAATTTGTTCAGCATCGATTGTGTCTATTTCTGAATGATTCATTACCTGGGGAACCGTCCGGTCATAATACATGTCCTAGTATCAAAATCCGCTCGAAAAGCGCAGTCGTAAAATGCGTCAGCACATGCACGTTGCAAAATTAATGGCTTTACAATTGCCCACGTAGTGAATTGAGTCGTCATTTCTGTGTACGTACCAGGTTAATTTGTGGTGACGACATGCTAGTTTCCGACTGCCCCAAATTTGTTTTAAAATAAAACTTTGGTATTTTGGCCCGTTCACAGTTTGTTTTCAAAGTTGACAATGCCCCAGCTGTGTGCCTGCGGTGATCCACCAGAGAGCAGTTTTGACACCACGCCGACTGCAGAAATGTCGATTTTTTGGGGGTCGTCTTTTTTTCTTTTTGGTTTGGTACCACAAGTGCTTGACACCTTTCGCCGTACACTACCGCGATTGCTTGGTTGCAGTTCAAATAAAATGGGTTATTGGTAGGCCCTGTGAAAAAAAGCAATGTTGCTTCACCCGGTGAGAGCAAACAAACCAGCCCCGTGCGGGCTTCAGTTCGTCACCACCTCACGGTGCCCAGTTTCCCCCGGCAAACTCGCCAGTCAATAAGTTCTGATGTTGGAGCCCAGGGAAACAAAAATGAAGAGGGGGGGGGCATTGCTCGGAAGAACAACAAGCCTGACGGGTTGGCCCGTTTATCGTGTCCAGTCACACCTGTGTCAGTCAGCGTGGCAGATGTTCTTCTCTGCCACGTCATGGGCCCTAATCGTTCCTTTCAGGAGCGAGGCAAACCGTCCCAATTGTGGCCGTCACGTCTCTAGTAACTAGCCGTCTAAATGTTTTGCCTCTGCGGACGGGACTAGGCCCATGGAGGGGCTCCCTGACAAAAGGTTTCCCGTTCACCAAAGGACGGGACATTGTCGTGCCGAATTCAATACAATCGGTACGGCCACAGACTCTTTCAGCAGCCGAAGTGTTTTTTTTCCTTTTTGATCCAAGGTAATATTTGCAGAGAAACCTTTTCCGACTCCAAACGGTCGTGGTTTTAAGAATGCCTTAGTTTTGGGTGAAGGCTTTTCGAGTAAAAAATGATTACGCGTGCAAATATGAGCATAAGTACCGGTGCCAACTCAAGAAGAGAAATAAATGTAACGGAAATGATGTTGCTTAGTGTTGGAAGACATTCAGGGACACGCGCATATAGGCCTAATTAGAAACTGTTGATGTCAAATTTCTGAGAGGAATTTGGAACTCAGCAGAAGGTATTTACTGGCGTCAATAATATAAACAGAGCGGATAAATGTAGAAAAAGTAGGAGTGTTTTCGTGTAACCGCTGTCTGCACGTATGCCTATGCGTATACACGTATTTACATTCGTGAAAACTGTCATGAAGATAGCAGTTTAATTTGGGCTATTTATCGGGGATTTCTTCGTTAACAAATTATGTGGAAAAAATGGATGTAAAGTTCTGAGAGGCTAGGATGTGAGAATTTATTTATTTTTTATAGAATCTCCTCTTTTGGTCTAATATTTTGAGGTTGGATCGTTTTTGCATTGATAGAATTTACGAAGACGTAAATTAATAATAGACCTTACTAACAGACTAATGTGCCCATGAAGCCCTGAACGGTCATTTCGCATTTTGTCAGCATAGCAGTGATAAAACTATTTACTTTTAAATTATGTCTACTGGAAATACATGATCGATTCTCATTCAGGCAAAAGTCTAACCAGTGGGCCGTTTGTTTTATTATTGTCCTAAATAGAGGTTCCGTTTTTCAGTGAAAAACACCAGAGGGTGATGGATCACCGTGTTGCAGTGAAGCCACATTGTGCTGGCGTATCTTCGGGTGTACATGACATGGGTGCTGTGTTTGTGTCGCGGGTTTTGTCTCCGGACCACGACCTCGCCAGCATACTGAAGGCATAATACGTATACGCTCTGCTCAACTGTGGCATTTTGCCTGTGAGCTGCGAGGGAGCCCCGGTTCGCGTACTTCACGGTGACCGGTTAAGATGGAGCACACAGCAGCACGCGGCAGGGGCAGAAACCGCGGCCCGACGGCTGACGTCATCGTTACGGAAGGAAACGCCGTCTTCATGCCGTTCGGTCTTGGAAAACAAACCCGCGGTGTCCGACTGACTAGTTATGAGTAATAGAAATACGCTTGGTTAAGAAGGGGAGCAAAATGTAATTTAGGGTGTACAATTCCGCAACTGTAAGCATGATGTTGGAATGAACGGGTGCACGCTCTTGTAGATAAGGACTTGACCGCGCAGTCAGGATAAAGACAACAGAAACATTTATAAAATGCTTCGTGTGAGCGATTTCCCGTTTATGAACAAATCAGACAAGTTTTTAATGGCATTTGACAATGCCCCTAAGGGACGTTGAAAGCCCTTTCGTGAGCTAGGCCGTGCTTCAGCAAAACCGTCAAAAGGCTAATTAACTTGTACCTACTTTGGGCAGTCTCCACTAACACTGATTGCAAACTCTGATTTGTTCATGATCAACACAATACCTGCAAAATTGAACAGTGCGCGATAATGTATGTGTGACATTATTCTTGTGGTAAGAGATGTGTAAGCAGATATCGGCTTGTGTAAACATCAGCTTGACGCAAACAAGGAGATCTTGTGACCTCGAACTTTTCAGCGGCTCCTCGAAGGACAATCCCAGAAATTGGACATGCAGTAAATCTATACGAAACTAAACAGCTCTGTAACTTACACGTTCACATTTCAGTTTAAGCATACACCTAATCCCGACAATTTTGACATTTTTTTGGTTCATTCTTCCCCTGTCCCCTGACAGTAAGCAAATATTTGACTGAGGTTCAGGGGTCAGCCTCACTATCTGACGTTCCATCTTTAATATCGCGAACAGCAACACTCCATTGCCGTGGCGATCTTAGGGTCTTGATTTCCCGCCATGAGCCATTGTTAGTCATCATGACGAAACATTACACAGGCGACCGAAAGAGATTAAAAAAAAAGAACCAGGCCAAAAGATTCTGACTTTGATTCCTACAAGAAAATCGCTGTAAAAGAAGAAAGACACAGAGAACCCTGATAATTAGGATGAAAATGAATCCACGGCCGTCACGGGGAATAATGCGGTCTCGATGACTCGACCTGGCCAGGATCGTCATGTTCATGTCTGCACTTCACGCAGATCTCAAGATGTCTGATGGACATTATTTTGGGCGGTAAAGTACAAGATTACAAGAGTGACGTCGCCATGAATGTTGGTAACAAGTAGCTCACTCGTGGAGGGGCCGAACATTGTTTTTAACAGGAACACATGTTCCGAGAGGTTTTTCCAAACCAGCAAGGTTGAGTAAATTAGGGCGTTTCATGAACTCTCGTACGTCTTTCAGTGATCGCCTTGTTGTAGGCTTGAAAATGGATAATCGATAACGCAAATATTCTCTGAAAATATTTAGTAATTAATGGCTACGTTGTGAATCGTCGTTATATATTGTATCACAGTATTCACAAAATATTAAGTACACGAGTTAATGTTTTCCTGCAGTTGTAGAAATGTTTCCTTTTATATCTATCATTGCATGTTTCTTAATGAAATATAATACGCTCAGTTTATGAACATTTTCCAGGTTTAATGTTAGATTAGACGAGATAATTTGAGTCGGTTTAAGCCTTGCTTAACTCCAAAGTATCTGCACTTTACATCAAACATTTTGAATAAGACTTTAATCTTAACGAATCTCTGTCTTTCGGAGAGTTGTGTCGGCAAAGTACAAGAGTGGGCCTTATTGGTTCTCTTGTCATTTAGTTTCTTTTATTTCTTAAATGGCTTGCATGCTATGCTTCCGTCATTCGTGACGGCCTACAGTGGTCAAGAACGCAGAGACTAGCTGGAACAAAAATAAGAAAGCCCGTAGAAACTAGACAAAATTATGACTGGAGCGGCTGCCCCAACTTTTCTAACTTTGTTTTAGCTGCTCTTCCGCCAACTCGTCCAGAACTGACCTTTCTCCCCCACCCACTTTTCCGTCCTTTTGCAGAGATGTGCGTGGGCTTCGCCTCTTTCGGCGAAGATAATGCGTGCGGCGGGTTCAACAAATTAAGGCAGCCGGTGTTTGCTCTGCCTGCAATTTATTGTCGGCGGGTCTCGCGAGACGCTCGGAGTAACGAGAAATCGAGAGAAGACCTTGTTTGCTCACGGTCCGTTCTGTAATTTGGAAAGAAAAAAAAACTGACTTTGTCTTGAAGGGGAAGGCCCTCAGGTAGACGGAACCATTGCAGGTGGGGGTTGGTATAGGCTATGGTTTTAATACGTGCACACCAGTGGTACTTGTTACCTAAGATCACGGACCGCATGCGTGAGGAAATCCCATGTAAGATGAAGCTCTACAAACAGGTCAATCGACAAGGACTCACTTTCGTATTTTCTAAAGGCATGTCAGGCTATTGCGACGAGTACTTGATTTATGTTGTCCGTATGTTGTAGCTGATCAGTTTTCTCTCTTGTCACTTCCCTGCTCCTTTTCATCTGCGGCACAATGACAGCAACGGGGCCCGGTTTTGTCTTGTGTTATTGAGGGGCAGCAAAAGTGCGGCTTCCCGTTTAGAAGGCAAGGTCGCGCAGTCACTGGGCGAGCTGAGGCGGTTGTATTGTTCGGGATCCCACACCGTGTCCCGCTCGATTGATCGTGTTTTATTTTCGCTTTAGTCCCCCTCCACTTCGCTTTTTTGTGTTGGTGCCGGGCCACGCGAATGGTAGCCGTTTACGGTCGATGGGGTTCACGCCGTAGCCAGCCGCCGTGAGTGGGACTATAGGTGACGGGGAACTTAGGCCGGCCGTGCCCCACAAAAGATACAGGCAGCTGTTGGCATCACCAAAGTGCTTACTTTTCATTGTGAGATCCTGTCGCTTTGTTCCCGGCCTAACACCGCACCAGGGCTCAGCTTTTTTTTGTGCGATGTAGGACCGTACGGCGTACGTAGGCCAGCATCAACCCGCAAACCTACATAATAGTGTGTTCCCTATTCTAACACCCCCCCCTTTCTCGAGACCTGTAAACTACAGACGTTCGTGTCACTGTCACCTACATGTTGTGCCTGAGCCGTGTAAAGGGTATCACAGATCCAACCTGGATCAATGCACGTTTGGCTATCGACAACTTCGTGATAAATTCCAGGTTTCGTCTTATCCGAGAGCAAATACGACAACAGCGCTGTCTTTTCCCTTCTCTCTCCGTCGGCGGACCGGTGTTGACACGCTGCGTACAAATATTGACATACAACACAGTCACTTGAAAAGGTTAATAACGCACCAGAAACGGACGAACTACTCGGCAGAGAAGTCATGTATTTGGCCATGAAATTTAATCATCCCGTGTAATCAGACTAACATTCAGGGCCCGCCTTCTGTTCCAAGTGACTGTTTCAATCACCGTGTTTTGGATCGTCACCATTGTTCGAAATGGCCGGCAAACAATGCCCATCGACGGCAGAGGCCTGAATAGGCCACGGTGCAATCGCCCTGTTGGTTGTCAAATCACGGCCAAATTAATAAAAATAACTCTGTTGTAACGGTTCTCAGTTTGACTGACAAGTCCTATTTTATTTCAGTTTTCAGAAACAAAAGCTGCAGGTTGTACGCACAAATCATTTCTGACTCACTTTCTTTCAAAACAATATTCAGATACATTTAAAAATAACTACCAGAATGTAACCTAGAAAGGTACTAGGTTTTGGATCAGTATGCGCTGGTGCTTACAACCTTTGACAGGAGAGTGTATTTGGACTTTCATTTTGATACGTCACAAGGGCAGTTTTTGCCAATAATGGCTGGTCGTGAGTACAAAATATTTGAACATTTAATTACAAATCTACGACACGTCAGTACTGACTGAACATATTTTACATTTAACATTGATATTGTTATTGTGAATTTTCCAGTTACTTTGGCTGCCTATTAAAAAATGGCGGTCAATGGTCGGACAAATAAAGAAAGGTCAACAGCAGTGGTAATGGTACTTGCACAAAGGGCGCCCTCATTAGAAGTGCCCATTGGCACCCGGTGCCCCAGTTCATACTGGTTCCCTGCCTTATCAAAGACAGTAAGGGCAGGTAGCCATCATCCACGAAAACAGAGTATGAAGTAATGCCATGCCCCAGGCGCAGCGCACATGCTTCCGTTAGGTTTTGATTAGTCAGCATATTCAAAGTTGTGCGAAAGTGGCGATTAATACGCATGCAAAAGCACCAATCTGCAAAGAGGAGCAACTCACATCGGCACAAACATTTGCGGTCATTCCGACGGTACCTGAAAATCAACGGAATGGGTTTAGAAATTTCGGCTAATTTCGGAAATTTATGGAAAGGGTAGGAATTCCTCAAAGTTGCGGCTACCGAACCTAAACCTGTCTAATAACACTTATAACTTATTCATTTATATAGCGCAAATTTCATACAAATATGTTCAAATATGCTGTGTGAAGACTTTAAACGTGGCGAACGAATGGCATAAAAGAGTGCCTCGGGCAACCGCCAAACGACCCATATCCACCCACACCTGTACAGGGAAGACAGTAAGAAGCAATTACACTTTTGGAGGTGGGAGAAAAATCCCAGAGCAGAATTTTGTGGATAAAACCCACAGATTCAGGTAGGGACTTAAAACCCAATCCGCACGTGGATGGAGCCAGGAATCGAACCTAGGCGCAGAAGTGAAAATCGAGGAAAGGACTACTTC